ATAGTTATCAGGATATTTATTTTTAAAGTCATAGAATTGAGAAAGAATGGTCTGTCAACGCCGGTGCAGCCGGTGCGGTTTCAACGGCCCTGCAAAGCATCTCTCATTTTTTAGCCTTGTATACACTTATTTATTTTTCTCATCATTACTTTATGTTAATTTCGATATATAAAATAACATTAATTTCGTACAAGTAAAAACACCAGAAGGTATTTTATAAAGCAAGTAAAAGACTTTAATCGTGATCACGGACTCATTGAGCCCGATTGTATAGCAAACATGTTTCGAGAAAACGATTCTCATCATCAGTACGAAAGATAACAAATTTTGCCAAAGCTTATATGGCTTTATACACATGTATGTAAATAAGCAAATTAGAAAAGCGACTAATGAAGCAAACCACAAAACATAGACACCACCCGTCACTGCGGATTGTTATGTAAATTAGTACACAAGAATCAAACAGTGAGCGTGATATTCAAGTTATAAATTTGCTTATTAATTGATGGATTGTTCCAGGTAACATTAGTATACCTAAGAATAGGCTTGTCTAGATTGCTGGTGCACTGTAAATGCCTTGCTGTTACGATTGTTATATGTAATGTATGCTGCAACCATGCATATGCATCTACCCAGAAAGATGACACTTCCTTGATCTAAATGGATCTTTTGATCTTTGATCTTTGGTACTTGTAGGACCTTTTCATTTGCGATTTATAAATCTACCTAATAATATTATTATTAAACATATTTAATTTACAGTGTGTTTATTGACCTTGTGTCAGTTTAACTCTACCTTGCTCATAGGTTTAATAAAGATAAAGGTCAATGAGAGGTAAAGAGTGTCTATCATCATTTGCTGGTCTAGCAAATTGGCCATTAGTAACTACCACCAGGTCTTCACAGCTGTGTCTTTATTACCATAATGCTAGTATAATCTATCAGTATTTTCAGCAATTGAAATAATTTTCAGGCCATCCATCTGCACACTTAACTGACCACAAATTACAATATCTATTATTATCCATGATTATTATATTATGACCCATGCATCTGTATGTGTAATTTTCATGCACTGGTTGACAATATTTATGTAACATATAATATAATACAGAAAGGCAGTAGGAGCATGCACTCTCACTGGGAGCCTATTTTTTCAGTTAGTGGAGGCATGTTTTTTTTCAGTTAGTGGAAGCATGTTTTTCGTTTTTAAATTTTGTTGTTTTTGAAATCAGCCGAGCATTTGTGATTGTACCTTGTTCTGTAAAATGATGTACAGTACAGTAAAATTCAGTGAATTTATATTTGTTTCTAAATATGTTTTTTGTAAATGTACGTTTGTAAAATGTTGTTGTTTTTAAATTTTTTGTTTATTTTAAATTTGTATTTTGGCACCGAGCACCTTTCATAAGCAGGTTAACCAAATATCATATTTAATGGAGTGAACAAATGAAACTGTCATTTCAATGAGCGCAGCTTGGCACAGACTGTCACCCTGCCACATCCAATCTACATTCATATTCTCTAATTTCTACTATGAGTAGAGCGGCTAAGGTTGAATTTCATGTGGAATCGTGCACTTCAGGAAGAAAGCATGAAACTTCCCACAGTGATACTATGACACCTAAAGATATTTAAAAAAAATATACCCCAAAAAGTAACGCCTCCTAATGGCCACCATCTTGAAATCCAATATGACGGCCAAAATATTTGATTTTAGCCAATATATTCATATCTACAGCACATGTCATTGCCAAATGAAGATCACTACCCATGTTTTCAATATCAGGGAGTGTCATGCAATCATCAGAAATTATGTCAGATGGTGCCGCCATATTAGATTTCAATATGGCCACCAGATTAATGATATTTTTATCAATATTCATATCTACAGTAAGCACTGTCAATCAAAGACCGTTGCTATGTTTTCGATATCAGGGACTACCATGCAGCCATCAGAAATTAAACCACCATATTAAATTTTAAGATGGCTGCCATCTTGAAATTTAATATGGCTGCCAAAATAATTAATTTTAGCCTATGTATTCATATTTACAGCACATATCACTCCAACTGAAGATCATTACCCATGTTTTCAATATCAGGGAGTGTCATGCAAT